CATGGTGTCCCTCAAAGTAGCATTCTTGGCCCTCTTCTCTTTCTTGCTTTTATAAATGATCTACCTCCAAACATACCTAATTCAACTGTTGATGTATACGCAGATGACACCACTTTCTCTTCAAGTTCCTACTTCTCTGTCGCGTCGACTGAATTACAAGTTAACCTTCAACACGATATAGATAAACTATGTGAGTGGTCAGACAAAAATAGAATGGTACTAAATGCTGACAAAACCAAATCAATTCTTATTACTGGTAAACGCCTTAAATTCCGAGTGCAATTATCTTCCTTACCCTCTTACAGCAAGTCATTCAAATATTGAACTGGTTTCTTCACAAAAATTACTTGGCGTAATCATTGATGAACATTTAACTTTCAAAGAGCATATAAACAAACTAAGTAAAAACCTAAGTAAAAAAAACCGGCCTGCTGAGAAAGATACGAAGATACTTACCACTAGTTGAGAGAAAGCTATTTTACAATGCTGTCGTCAAGCCAGTTATGATGTATGGTAGTTCTATTTGGAGTTGCTGCTCGCGAAATGATCTGCTTAGAATTTTTAAATTACAAAAAAAGAGCAGCTTGGGTAATTTTAGGAACTGACACTTCCTCCAGGTCAATAGCCAATTTTAATAAACTGAACTGGATACCTTTTTATGACGAAGTTAAAATTAACAAATGCACTTTAGTTTACAAGAGCCTGCATGATCAAGCTCCACAATATATTAAGGACTTATTTAAAACAAACAATGAAATTAATGGTAGACAAACTCGTCATGGCGAATATAATTTAGTGTGTCCTAAATATAATTATGCAACTGAGGGAGGAAAATCTGTAACTGTCAGCAGCATTAAAATATGGAACAATCTCCCAAAGGATATTAAGATGAAACCTAGCGTTAATTCCTTTAAGTTTGCCCTTAAAAAATACTTCTTAGAATCTTATAAGGGCATCAATCGCTTCGAATTATTATTGTGACGTACTACAAGTTGTACTGTATATAATTTGTATATATAAATTTATAATCCTAAATCCTTTTACACATTTACTCTAAGTAGCTTTTAGACGTTTTAAAGTAGAATTAATAACCTTGTATGTATTGTATATGAGGGCCACAGGTTTTTCAGCTATATTGCTGTCATGTGTTTCTACCCTCTTTAAATAAAGTTGTTCATTCATTCATTCACAAAAGTGACGTACATTAACTATATATACATAAATAAAGTTACAAAACTAATACATGAAAAATTAATATAAAACTATAATATAATATCATACTGTATAGGCTATACGCTATTGGAGAGTTACACACTAAGTTTTAGTGACCTCTTAAATTCTGTTAGCGAATTAGCCAAGCGAACATGTCTTGGAAGAGAATTCCAGATTACAGCTCCGCTGTATGAAAAACTCTTTTTGAGAAGATTACTCTTTGGTTTTGGAAGTAAAAGATTTAGATCAGAGTTTCGCAAATCATGATCATGTACTTGATTGGTTTCGCGAAACAAATCTTTTAAATACTCAGGAGCCAAGTTGTTAAGCACTTTGTACATCATGATAGCTTTTTTAGTTCTCGCTCATGAGCAAGTGCATGCCACCTAAGTTCAACAAGTAATTCACTAGATCAAGCATCATACGCGCTCTTTGTGATGATTCTGGCTGCCCTGTTTTGCAATTTTTGGGATAGGCCATCAGACAGAGTGTCCCAAACTTCGCTACAATAATTTAGTCGTTGTTCAACTAAGCTATGGTAAATTAGTAACAGATTTTGTCTGAACATGAAAGAGCTAACACGTCGTATCATTTTTAAAGCTTGAGTAATTTTTTCGATTAATTCATTCACATGATCGTTCCAACAAAGATGCTCATCGTAGATTAATGGACTAATTTATTTTTAAAATAAATTGGGATTAATATGGTGCAACATCCCCACTTACAAAACCTGTTAAAATCCCAAAAGATAAGCTAAGAAAACAGATATCCGGCTAAACTTATTAAACTTATCTTCTTCTGGCAATCCTTGCCCAGTCTACGACACTAATGGCATTTACTGCTAAGCCTACATTCCTTGGTTATCAGCAAAACCAGTCGAAAACCGGCTCAAGCTCATTCTGTACAAAACTGCCTTCGAGTAGACATCAACGAAAATCTCTCCAAAGTTTGGAATTCTCGTGTTTTGAAAACGATCATTTTGTATATCTCTTCATCTACATTATGCCTCGCATGAAACGAACATCATCAGCTGCAACACGTCGAACTTCATCGACACCATCCGTTACTCATTTGGACCAGCTTACAACTGAAGTTCTTCGACTTCGCTGCGACCAACAAAAGCTACCAGCAACTGGATCGTGTGCAACACTTCTGGCTCGTCTTCGCGATGCACCAAGACCAGCAGAGAATATGAATCCCTCTGTTGATCCTGAACCATCACCTCCGGTTAGCGACACCGTAACTACAGCGTCACCTGACCAAGAACCGACACGAGGCGGTTTTACTAATGAACAGTTCGAAACTCTACAATCCTTGATTTCCTCGTCCCTTCGTGACGTCACGCTTCCACAAGCGTCCACTATCACTGCCTTACCAGAACCAGATCTTCCTGCAACTCCGCCTTTGTTCCCGCCTCATCTGCCCGACAAGTCAATTGCATCGATACGCAATGGTGAGTACATTGACTTCAATACTTTGTTGTTTGAAAACGTCGATGGTCACGACGAGCAGTTGAGGATATCGTTCAACTCGCTGGGAGGGCCTGGGGTTTCCATTCCCGTTTCTGTGGCTCCACAAAAACGCCAACGCATTGATTCCATTGACCGCTGGCTCACTGCCTTCAACATTTTTGCCCGCGTCGTAGTTCATTTCTTCCCATACAAGGCCTCTGAACTTTTCGCCTACCAGCAAACCATTCGCGATGCACAACGAAAGTTTTCTGGCATGGCTTGGTATGCATATGATATAGCTTTCCGTAAAAAGGCAGCAAACGATGCCTCCCTTTCCTGGGCTCAACGGGATCCTCAGCTTTATCTGGAAAAATTCACGGGGTTAGCAAAGACCGCTTGTCATGCCTGTGGAAGCGCTGATCATTTCGCTAACGCGTGTCCAATTGCACCCAACAGATCCACGCCAACAAGACCCAGGGATGACCTCTGTCGAAACTACAACAAGAAATTCCCCTGTGCCTTCAAACACCGCTGTAACCGACCAGGCTGCGTCGGACATCACCCAGGAGCAGAGCATGATGAGAGAGCTGGCGAATCGAGCAATTCCCGACGAGAACGTTAACCAGTACCTTCACCACCTCAAACCTAAAACACCTGTTAATATAGTTTACTTACAACATGAATTAAAAAATCATCCTGACGTTTTGTTCGTTTCTAATTTAGTCCAGGGTTTTCGCGATGGATTTTCTATTGGTTTTGAGGGTCCCCGCATGCCACGTTTTTCCCACAATTTAAAATCAGCAGTTGAGCACCCTGATTTGGTTACAAAAAGTTTACTTAAGGAAGTTATTTTAGGTCGCACTGCCGGGCCATTTTTATCCCCACCTTTTCTAAATTTTCAAATTTATCCAATTGGCGTAGTTCCGAAAAAACATTCTTCAGATTGGCGCACGATTTTCCATCTCTCACACCCAAAATCCGCCGGCACTAGCGTTAACGCTTATATTTCAAAAGAAAACTACTCTTTGCAATATGTTGAAATCGACGACGCTATCAATTTGATTATTCAGCTTGGTAAAGGTTCATTTATGGCTAAAACTGACATTTGTTCGGCGTTTCGAAATGTACCTGTCCACCCTAATGACTGGGAATTATTAGGAATGCATTGGAAAGGGCTTTATTTTTTCGACCAAGTTCTACCTTTTGGCCTTCGCAGCGCGCCTTATATTTTTAATCAGCTTTCGGATGCGATTGAATGGATTGCCAAAAATAACTACAACATACAACATATTTTGCATATTTTAGACGATTTTTTCTTGATTGAACGACCGCCAAGGTCAAACTGCATGACGTCGTTGTGTAAACTGCTTACTGTTTTGACAAATCTAAATGTTCCTATCGCGCACGAAAAAACTTATCCAGCGTCTACCGAACTCGAATTTCTCGGTGTCCTTTTAAACTCGCAAAAAATGATTGCCAGCCTGCCTTCCGATAAACTCGAGCGAGCAAAACAAGATCTTTTAAACTGGTTAGCTAAAAAAAAATCATGTACTTTGCGCGAACTTCAGTCCTTGATAGGTACACTGCAATTTGCATGCCGCGTCGTTGTGCCAGGTCGCGCTTTTTTACAACGTATGATAAACCTTACACGAGGCGTCGTTGAGCCACACCACCACATTAAACTGAATTCGTCCTTTCGCAAGGACGTCGCGATGTGGCTAGTTTTCCTAGAGCAATGGAATGGCACTAACATATTTCTCGATATTGCGCCCACAAATTCGCCTGAGCTTGAGTTTTCGACTGACGCTTCTGGTGCATTAGGTTACGGCGCATTTTTTAATAATTTCTGGTTTCAAGGCAAATGGTCTAGTCAATTTCACGCGCATATAGAGCAGCAAAGCATTGCATGGAAAGAGCTTTTTCCGGTCTACCTCGCATGTTCAGTTTGGGGCAATTTATGGTCGGGTAAACGGATTCTACTTTGGTGCGATAATGTTTCAGTTACTCAAATTCTCAACACAAAATCATCTAAAGTTAATAAAATTATGGATCTAGTACGAAAAATTACAGTTCAAACACTTACTCATAATTTCACACTAAACGCCAAACATGTCCCAGGTGTAAACAATTCAGTCTCTGATGCATTATCCCGGTTTCAGATGCAACGTTTCCACCAACTAGCTCCCACAGCCTTACCAGAACCTACCGCCATTCCCGAATCCTTGATCCAAGTTTAACCCAACGAGTCAACTCGCTGCTCGGCCAAGCAATCTCTTCCTCAACACGAACAACATATTCAACTGGAGTTCGCCAATATTTGGATTTCTGCTTTGTTCATAACCTCGCTACAAAAGACAACCCTCTTCCATCCCCAACCGAAGAAAATCTAGTGTATTTCGTCGCCTCGCTTCACGGTAAAGTCCAGTACTCAACCGCCAAGTTATACCTTTCTGCAATCACCAACTTCTACTCCAACGTATCCGTCGCCCCATAACCATACAAATTCTGGCAGAAATTTCAACGTTGTTACGTCCAGATTTTTCAAATGAACTTGATACTGTCATGCTCTGGGCGGCCTTTACATTGGCCTTCTTCGGTTTCTTACGAGTTAGCGAATTTACCTACTCAAGCACAAAGACTTTTCTCGCCGTTAAAGACGTTGCTTTTAATCCTACCATCAAAAATCCCGAATCTCTACACGTACGCATAAAGCAATCGAAAACCGATCCGTTTCGCCAAGGAACAACTCTGGCTATTGCAAAAAGTCACTCGTCAGTGTGTGCTGTCATCGCCTTACGGGAGTATCTACTGCAACGAAACCCAACAAATACTGATGAACCGTTATTTATGCTGCAGAACGGTGAACCACTCACCAGAACTATACTTAGTGCTAATCTAAGAGAACTCTTGAATATTTTAAGCTATATAGAAAACGAATACGCTCCGCATAGTTTTAGAATCGGAGCAGCTACAACTGCTGCGGCAGCGAACTTACCACCATGGTTAATTAAAACTCTAGGTCGATGGCGTTCAGACTGTTACGAACTGTATATTCGTACACCAGGAACAATAATTAACTCAGTTCCTCAAAAACTAGCTTCAGTACTTAATCC